AAGCGCCGGTCCTGAGATACTACGTTGTCAGCAAGGAAGTTACTATTGAATGTGATGCTAGTGACACTGGCCTAGGTACTGTCTTAACGCAAGACGGACAACCCGTTGTTTTTGCTTCGAGGGCACTTACAGATACAGAAACTCGTTACGCTCAGATTGAAAAAGAATTACTAGCGATTGTCTGGGCAACAAGCAAATTCGATCAGTATATCCTCGGCCGAGAAACCGTTACCGTAGAATCCGATCATGAACCGCTTAAGGCAGTTTTCATCAAACTTATACATAGCTCGCCTAAACGGTTGCAGAGAATTCTGCTGGCCCTCCAAAATTACAATCTCAACGTGTAGTACAAGAAAGGCAAACTCATGTGGATATCGGACACCCTGAGTCGTGCATATCGGAACACAACAGAATCTTGGCGTCATGACACGACTGAGGTACGAGCTCTGGAAGAGATCGACCATGCAGAGAATCTGTCTATTTCTCCAGACAGACTCGACCAGTTCAAGCGCGAGACACCGTCAGATAAAACCATGCAGAGTATCATCGTCGCGGTAAAGAATGGCTGGCCTACATCCAAGAGACAGTGCAGCCAGGACTTGGCACCGTTCTACGACAAAAGAAGTGAACTAGTAGTTGATAATGGACTAGTTTTCGCTGGAGAACGCTTAGTAGTCCCAAAATCAATGAGAAAAGAAATGCTGACGCAGATTCACCGATCTCATATTGGCATAGAAAGATGTCTTCGGAGAGCCCGTGAGGTATTATATTGGCCACTCATGAACGCAGAGGTTAAAGATTTGATTTCTAAATGCCCAACATGCCAGGCGTATCAACCGGCACAATGTCGTGAAGAATTAAAACCATACCCAATACCATTCCGTCCCTGGGAAACGGTCAGTATGGACCTTTTTGAGCTTGGAAAACAACACTTTGTTCTGCTCGTAGACTACTGGAGTGGATTCTTCGAGGTCCAAGAACTTACGAGAACTACCGCTGATAAAGTCATAGTAACCTGCAAAGTCCAGTTTGCACGACATGGAATCCCAGATACAGTGATAACAGACAACGGACCTCAGTTTTCTGCCACAGAATTTTCAGCATTTGCAAGAGATTGGCAGTTTAAGCATCTAACTTCAAGCCCTCGTTACCCACAATCTAATGGCAGAGCAGAGAATGCGGTCAAGACTTGCAAAATGCTGATGACAAAAGCCAAAGCTGCTGGCCAAGACCCATTGTTAGCATTTTTAGACTGGAGAAACACCCCCACAGAAGGTATGGGATCATCACCTGCCCAAAGGTTGATGGGGCGACGTACGCGAACACTGTTACCGACTCACAAAAATCTCCTTAAACAACCAATCAACGAAGGCACTAGAGATAAACTGGCTGCTCGGAAATCACGACAAATTTGCCATTATAACAAGACGCACCATTCTCTTAAGCCATTAAAAAAAGGTCAAGCTATACGAATGAAATTACCAAATGCAACAAAATGGACCCTTGGAACGTGTACCAGGGTTTTGGATAACAGATCGTACGAAGTAGAGGTGAGTGGAAGGAAATACCGACGCAACCGCCGACAACTCCGAGCATCGCAAGAAAGACCTCCAACACCACCAGCTGGTATGGATCCTGAGATTGGACCTGAGCAAAGCAGTAGGGAACCCGAGAACAGTTCGATTGTGAATGAACCCAATCTCGAACACGTACCACTATTAGACGGTGAAACCTCCTCTGAGACCATTGGAAATCTACCACGCCGATCTGCGCGTACAAAATATACACCGGTGTGGCACAAGGACTATGTCATGAAGTGAACGTTCTCAGCGTTAAACAACTCAAACGTTAAGTACAAGTACTTTATGCATATATACAATTCTATATTATACAGTAGTTTCATATTTTGTTAAAGGGGAAAAGATGTCACGATGTTATTAGGTGACGTCACGATGACGAAAACATTAATTTGATTGACAGGCGCGGCGAGCGAGGCGTACGAAAAAGAACACAAGCTAGGCGTTTTATATATTGTAAACAAATGACTATTTCTCTCGATTTCTTGTTAATCAGAAACTATATCGTAATAAACTAACACGTTACAGGGGAGGTTGTTATCCGGAAAAATATTTTTGAAATAGGGGCCCCTAAAAAAAATTGATCGATTTTGACAATTATTGCAATTTTTGATTGTCGCGACCTCAACCGCCACAAATTTCAACCCATCAAAGATCGTCGCGTCGGCGCTACTATTTCTGTAAAGGTTGATTGTTGTTGCAGTGTACATGTGCGGGAATTTATAGTTATTCTGTTGAACGCTATGCGGTTTTCAAGTCATCTGAATGTATAATTTCTCACATTTTATTCAATATTTTGTAAAGTTATAATAATTTGTAGTATATTTAGAGCGTGATGTTTTTTCAAGTGTACAACACTACAACTGGTGAACTGGCTCACATTTTACCAGCAGTGGCTATCATTGACCCATGCGCACAACAACAAAAACTTGTCAAACCTGCTTTACCGGTTGAGAATTTAATGTATTCGTCCGTGAATCTGGACGGCGGCTACATGAAACGATCGTTCGTTTGCTCGCAGTGGTTTCTCCTCTGCTTAGAAACCACTGCCAGCAGGATTTTGTGCCCAGTTATATACTTAATTTCCTTTGGCTCATCCTGCTAATTAAACTTGACTAATAATTAGGAAAAGGACTGGTTTAGCAATAATATTAGGAAGAATATAAATAGATTCATATAAGCTATTATATATAGAAAGACTAAATCAAAGTTGTATTTTTGCTGTTACCAATGCCTAAACGAAACGTCCTCATGGAGAGCCAAATCATTCACAAAGCACTGCCTCGGGCGAGATACTGACAGCTGTGCATGGGAATCAAGAAGATTCTCTGCTCATCCGTGACGTGACCGTTGAGAGAGGGGAAGTGAGAAGAGGGGAAGCTACTGACACAGGACGAGAATATAAAAGAAAGGGATTAGTGTGTAGTAGTGTCAACCGCAAGCTGAACTGTGAACAAGTCTGAAGAGTAAGAAAGATCAAGGTACGAATACTTCATTTGAATTCTATATATTTTAGCATGATTTTCAATCACTAAACGAAAGAAACGGTGAACGCATATTTGCAGTCTCAACTAACATTCTAACAAAGCTATATGGCCTATGTCAGTATAGTATAGACAGAGTCGTTGTTACTTCAGTGTTATTTAACCATTACTTGTTTTTTTTTTCAAACCGACCTCGTATACTTATACTATAATTTGCTGGCTTGTACTGGAGTAACAATTTTGATCTACTGATGCGGCGAATTTGAGATAAGTCTCGCTGTTATTTCGAGAACTATACCTTTGAACTTTTCATCCCTTATGGGTTTGCCTCATGACCTGCGCATATCAAATAAAATCATTGCCAGAAATTTGTAGTGGCTCGCAATTTCAAATAGGAGATTTATAAGGGTGCATAAAAATTCCAACAATACACTCGATATAGTATACTGTATATTCCGAAGCAGTGCCACACTTGATCGGTACATGTTGAATGTTTGGAAGTTAATATAAACATTGCAATGCATATACCAGTTAAAAACGAGGAAATAATATTTCCACCATATCGGTGATATTTTTTGTACTGATGTTGCGAAGGCCGCCATTTTGCTTTAAGAACCTTGTATACCCAAGCCTACGCGCTCTTATCGATCAGTATATAGCGCGAAGGTCTGAGCATGAGAAAAATTTCAAATATTAAACTGTTTTAAGCTGTAAAACGAAGAGATTTACATAAAAAAAAATTTAAAAAAATTCAGAGGCGGCAGAAAATCGAGAGGCGGGCGGTGACGCTAACCAAGTATTTTTTTTTATTTGGCCTTAAGGAGAGCCCGTACGAGCACGAAAAGTGCATGCTGGTTTGTATTCCGTCCTGAGTATGTTTTCGTTTGATTTTTCATCTTAACAAAGTTTAAAATTTTTTTCTCAGTTGTTTCAACTCTCAAATAGTTTTCTAGACATTTACAGTTTGGATTATAGGATTGGGGATAAAATCAGTTTATTTTACAAACAACTATCTTTTCAATATCCTGTAGAGCGAAATTCAAGATGGTTTCCAAAATGTTGATAATGATAACTTTGATGGTTTTGATTTTCGCAATTTGCGACGTCATGCCGTTCAGTGTAACGACGTGTGATGACAATTGTTGGCACAATGATTGGCGAACGCGTGATTCAGAAGCAAGAAAACATGGCTTTGAAGCGGATAATAAGAGATGTTCTTACTCGTACCTTTGGGGCGGTACTTGTTTTTGTTACGGTCCACCATATTGTGTAGACGTGCCAAACAGAACATGTGGTCATAACTGCTGGCACAACGATTGGCGAAAGCGAGATCAGAGAGCACAAGCAGCCGGGCAGTCCGGGAGCAGATGTTCGTATGGATATAGCTATGGACCAGCTGTTGGAGGACGATGTTACTGTTATGGTTCACCAGTCTGCACTTAAACTCAGAAATCAGAATTTGCATGATTAATCTGAGAATTACTTGAAATTAAAACTTGATTAATTTGGGAATACGTATAATTAGAATTTAATTAATTTGGGAACTAGAAATCATTGCAATTTGAACTTGATGAATAAGAATTTAGTGCACAAATGCCGTATGTCCAGTTCGTTTGTAGTCTTTTTTCTATTATTATCATTATTTATTTTAAATGACCATCACGGTGAAATAGAGATTTAGTAATATATTTTTGTGCTGTGTGTATTTAATCAGATGCGACTGATATGAACTATAATCTTGCGCAGAACGGTTAAGACCGTTCATCGAAATTTATGTTAGCCTGTCCACGGGGTTTATTGTGAGTGTTATTTCGGCCTTTTTCTAAAGTATTCAATGTTTAAAGGGTAAGAACCTGCTTTGATATATTTAAATAAGTCTTAAAAGTTAATTTTATGCCTGGGTCAGCAGTACGGAACGCTTCAACGAGAGAGCCTAGCAGATTTCGGTAAAATGGTCCCTGATTTCAAAAACGTACTAGTGGTCCCTGACCTGGTTACCAAGCATACAGCATTTGTAAGTAGAAAATGTTATGGAAATTTCCTTTCCGTTTATAATTAAGTCATTAGTTTTGCACTAATGCTGTCGGAACAATGAAATAGTTGAAAATTATGCCGAGTCTCCGACTAAAATTGTTTTGACAACACAGTCATATTTACAATCTCCTCAGCTACTTAAACCTGTCAAGTAGAAAGTGTAGTTGTGTATACCAGTTGATCACAACTTGCGAGTATATATAAATAACATTAACGATTATACGAGCAATACATGCTCAGACTCAGAATCGTAATTTTTTATATAAATTTTTTAAATTGAGCACATTTTTAATACAGTTTAAATTTGGTTATGTAGACATCGAACATGATCAACGAACATTGTCGTATTTACAAGGTTATTTGTATATATAAATTCCCCGTCATATTAAAAATACTGAAATCTGCTAGGCGTTCTGAAGCACCTTTAGCGGTGACGTCACACGTAGGTCCCAGTCTCGTACTACGTACATCCACGTTTTTTCTCGCCCTTGCTTCAGAACGACTGGGACTAGGCTGGGTAAGAGCAATGAACTTCATGTCTGTTTTAGAGGTGTGCATCGGATCGGATTGGACGTTTATAATCCGACATTTGGCTGTCTAAAATCCGATCCGAAATTGCCTAATCCGAATCCCAGTTTTGATAAAGAATTCCGATCCGAAGAATCCTTTAATAAAATAAATTTCTCATTCAAGTGGAAATATTTAACCAAATAAATACAAAAGCAAGAAATACATGTCAAAAACTGACAAAGTGACGTCCAAACGAATAATGCAGCGACAACCGCGTTGTCGTGGATAATTAATTCATTTTATTTCGAATATCGAAGTCCGATCCGACTACGAAACAACTTTATCAATCCGATATGAATATTTTTGTTCCGAAATGCGAACGATCGAATCCGATCGGATTTGCACACTTCTAGCTAGTCTGTTTGGAGAGAAAGAACTCGTTAAACTGTATGTGAAATAAGTTATTTTACAACTTTTGTTTACCTCTTGTCATTCTTGAGATATTTTAGTTTGTTTGATATGAAAATGAAATAAATTTATGTGGCAAGCACGTCAAAGTCATTAAGCCCACTGTTCAAAATAGATCAAATAATTCAGATCTAGATCGATGATTCAATTGACTAGTCTTGCATACAAAAAACAGGACGTTTTAAGCATGATCCTGTGGACCCGTCAAAAAGTTGACGCAGCTTGTGACGTCATCTGATTAACATATCAAACGAACTGAAATATTGTCTAACCAAAGGATATAAATTCTTTTGTAAAATGCCTTGTTCTTCATTTTAAGTTCTTTCACTATAAACGTACTTAAATTTTGTTGCCAATACTCTTTATATAAAATAAAATTTATTCAACGAGGTGGTAACACTTGTAGTGAAACTCTTTAGTTTTAGTTTGGTTTTTCACAAAACAAAAATGGAACATTCTCCAATCTTTGAATTGCAACCCTTTCAGCACTGCACACATGAGGAGACCTGTGATTACCTGCGGAGGTGAAAAGCCCTTTTCTAACGGTCTACATCGTTAAATATTTACGCTTATCAAATCGTCATGCCTGAAGCCTTGCCTGCATGTTACAGAGAGCAGCAGTATTCCGCACAGGCAAGCTGCCCGCAGGCAAGCTTTGACTACCGCCGATAGACCGGCGACAACTTGGCGAAACCGTTATGAATTCTCGCCGAAATCCTGAATGGCCGTATTTTGACATTCCTCCATCGAAAATTGTCACAGACACGACGCAATACATGCCGAAAAAGTCAGTTGAACTCAAGCTTACTTTACAGGCATACCGCAGTCATGTCGGGGACTGCCTGTGGCATCGACGACGAATATTCTCATATACCATAGCGCCGGCCACGTCGCAGACATACTGTACCAATGGCGGCTGAACAAGGTTTTTTTTTTAATGGTGGGGGATTCCAATGGTGTGTGTGTGTGTGTTGGGTTAAAACATTTTCAGGCGCCACCATATTTCGTAAACAATTACGGCTTTTCCTTAATTTCAAAATTTTGAATCTGTTCGGGTTTTTTTCTTAGGGGGGGGGGGCTTCTATGGCCCCCCGTGGCCCTGTTCCACCACCTACAAGGTATGCCATAGGGCATATGTGAACTAGGCCAACATGCTCGCCAAAAACGATTGCACATGCATGGTTGGTCCGTTCCTCTTTGAGGATGCATGGTGTGTTGGCGACACAACGATCTTATTAGTGCAATTCTTTTTACCTCTGCAATCGAAGCCATATACCCCGCAATATGTAGTTGATCGATTTGACATTTCACCTCTGTTGGTGCAAGTGATCATGAGAAGAGTGCTTTGAATTGAGATCATGGTCCTACCTGCAGCAGTGCAGGAAGAATGATTTATAGATAAAACCGATAGAACTACCCAATCTAAAGAAAGTTAGACTGGAGTAAGTCGACCCTTCAAATGCCAGATTTGCCGAAGAGTTTTCTGGATGTCCTATAAAACAGAACGGTACAGTGTTCACCCAGTAAAAAAAAATTGGAACTGAAATTTATACCCGAGGTTTGTCCGTGAACGAAAAGGGAGTGGACATCGACAAGATAAAGCCTGAGATAAAGTGAACGACGCGCGCTTTGGAACTTCAACACGCACTTTTACATGCAGTTGAAATGGTTTCCTGTAACACAGGAAGTAATCTCATACAAATTTAAAATTTCCGTTAGTTACCAACTAAAAAGACTAACATAATTAAGAAGTCTATCACTTAATTAGCCTTTCTCACGATGACGAATATCCGCCATTTTTGGGTGGCATCCAATTCTCGTTAATCAATGCAGACAATTAAAACAATGTGAAAAGCAATTTTTCAAATTAAACTAACCATTTATAAAGCAAATTTACCATCATTTGTCCAAAAAATTATAAAACGTCGCTGTTATGTGGACTTATCTCGCAGACTTCGGCTGAAATGCCACCCAAAAATAGAGGCGTGAGAAAGGCTAATTGAAAATACCTCGGCAAGGTGTCCTGAAAAATCCCCCCTCTCATTATATATTAACGGCTTATTGACCGAGAGTGAGGTCTGTACTGTGAAATATCAGACCGAGGTTTTTTAGTATGTACCGAGCGACGAAGGAGCGAGGTCCATGCAAAAAACAGAGGTCTGATATTTCACAGTACAGACCGAACAAGCGAGGTCAATAATCGGTTTATTATATGGCTAAACTGAGTCTGTAAGCATGCACATTTCGCGTGAATTAAATCGGCTATCGTCAGTTTCACTGGGTAACAATATCGGGTAGGCATGCATGCTCAATCAAAAACAATTTGGTTGTTTGAAATTTTTATCTGTAAAGCACAATCGGAAATTTAAAAAGCAAAACATTTTTCTGTTTGCAAAGCAAAAATTTCCCGCCAGATAAACGGGACACCGGTCCAGACATGGGCGAACGGGCCGGGGGGCACGTGCCCCCCCCCCAATTTTTACGGTCGGGCAAAAATGAATGGGAAATTCGGGCAAAACCGGTGAAAATTTCGGGAAAATTTTGATCGGTTGTGGAAAAATTTTTGTATTTCCCGAAAATGACGTGATGTTACTGAAAATTTTATGATATGTCCGGCAAATTTTTTTTTGGTATATCGCGAAAAATGTTTTCGGTGACCTAC